AAAAAAAGGAATGAAAAAAACAAACATGCAAGAAAGGCCAGGAAAATACTAAAAAACCTGAAAGCCCACAAATGGGGACTATAATTAAAACAATATATTGGTGTATGAAGAGACAGTAGACCAGTGGGATAGGATAGAAAGCCCAGAGGTAGACCATGTACCTATGAAAATTTACTATGTGGTAAATTATAGGATATTTTAATCTGTTTTATGCTGCTATAACAGAATATAAAGATTGAGTAATTTATAAACAACAGATTTATTTCTCATGGTTCTGGAGCCTGGGAAGTCCACTACCAAAGTGCTGGCATCTGGTGAGGGCCTTGCTGCATCATCCCATGGTGGAAGGTAGAAGGACAAAAGAGCACAAGGAGTTGGGGGGAGGAGTCAGAACTCATCCTTCTATCAGGAGCCCACCCACTCCTGCTATAACTAACACACTCTTGTGATAATGGCATTAATCCATTCATGAGGGCAGAGCCTTCATGACCTAATCTCACCCCTTAAAGGTGCTACTACCTCTCTTAATAATGTTGCATTGAGGATTAAGTTCTAAACACATTAACTTTGGAGGACACTTTCATACCATAGCACAGGGCAAAGATGGACTTTTTTGTAAATGATGCTGTGACAACTGGCTAGCCATTTGGGGAAAAAAGAAGTAGAACCATGCCTCACACCATACACAAGAAAATACTCCAGATGGATCAGGGATCTAAATGAAAAAACAATGAAACCTTACATATTCTAGAAGACAGTGTGGGTGGATTCTTTGGTGTAAGAAAAGACTTTCTAACTGACTCAAAATTCAGAGGCAATGAAAGCAAAGTTTGATAAATTTTATTGCATAAATTGGGTGGGATGCATAGCACTTCATGGGGAAACACTAGAGGCATTTCCATTAAGAGAGAAACAAAGAAAGGATGCCCCTTATTTCTGCTGCTATTCATCATTGTACTAGAGGTTTAGACAGTGCAGTTAGGTAAGAGAAATCAGTTGTGTAGCATAAGAATTGGTAAAGAAGTAATGCTGTCTTTCATTTGCAGATGATATGGTAGCATATCTGGAAAGCCCTAGAGAATCAATGATAAATCTAACTTAAGTGATACATGAATTCACTAAGGTAACAGGATATAAAATTGATATATAAAACTCAATAGCTCTTCCATTCACAGATAGTTTATATTTGTGTATAGAATGTAATAGTAGCTAGTTGGAGGACATAATAGGAAAAAAAACTATTTATAATGGCAAGATAGAAGATGAAATACTTAGGAATAAACTTTAAAAAAATGTACAAACCTCTAAAAGAAACTTTGAAACACACTTAAAAGATGCAGAAGTAGACTTGAAAAATGGAAAGATAACCCTTGTTCTTAGCTAGAGTAGCTCAGCATTATAAAGATGTCAGTTCTCCCTACATTAATTTATAAATTTAATGTGGTACCAGAAAAATACCAACCAGCTTGTTTCTGTGAAGTTAGATACGTTGATAAATGAGGTTCACATGAAAAAGGAAACATGTAAGAATTATTAATGGAGGTCCTTTTCTTTAGGATAACTGGGATGACGATGATGATGAAAAAAAAGAGGAAACAGAAGTAAAACCAGGTGAGCCACTGGGGCACCTCCATTTTTGATTTTATATCTTGGTGAGCATTTGGTACTTATGTTAAGACAAAGAAAAGATGCTCACAAAGTTGAAAATTTTGTTATTTAGAAACCAAGTGTCCTTCCATTCCCACGTTATTCTCTTTTCTCTATGTCTTTTCTCCTTAAAAACATCCTCAAAACATAATTAGATTAGATACCTGCTGTGTTTCTGTATGAATGCTTGATATTGTTAGGAGGAGAGTATAGGGGGTGTGGCTTTATACTTGAATGATATAAGTTGTGCCTAAAGGATGATGCAGAAATAAGAAGGGAGATGTTTGGATCTTAGGGGTCAGATTAGAGAGGAGGAGGGGGTGTGGCGATGCACTGCGGATGGCTGGCTCCCTCTCTCAGAAAAAAAAAA